AATGCCTGAAATTTACTGTTTAAAATTAAATAATCATCCTTTAAATCATAATGATACTGAAAAAAAAAGAAAAAAAACTCATTTAATATCCATGGAGGAAAATATTTCATAACTACTTACTAAAAAGCTACTTATAATGAATCTATCAAGCATTTATCATTTCATATTTTTGAATAATAATAATTTTTTTGTTACTAACAATTTTTGAAAAAATTTTCCATCAGTGGTGGTAATCATCATGCCAATTTCTTCCTCAAAAAAAAATTGATAATTAAAATTATAACTACTTACACTTTCTTTTTAAAGGAAGACTAGCAGTTCAAATAAAACTGCAAAGGAATGGCAGATAAATTTAGAAGCAATGATAAACAGAACATCATGTTTTCAACCTATGAGAAAGTAAATGATTCACATAATGATCAGTAAAAAATCCTGAAAACATCAGTGAAAAGTTATCAGGGAACAGAATATTTGCAAAGACTCAAAGTATCCCCCAACATGGCACTTGCTGATTCTAAAAGGAATGGCATTCTTTTATATTTTTGAGACCTGGTAGTTATATTCTTTAAAATACGGTGTTCATTGTTAAAAATGAGATAGCCTGGTATCAAGTGACCTCTGATGTGATTCCACACAAAGTGCTTAGCATCATCTATGAAATGCTCTTATCACAAATATTTACCCTGTATCCATACCATCCTCTAGGTTATACTAATCTGGCTTCTAGTCTACATGAAATATAGGAAATGAAGAAAGATATTACATAATACTGTGAGAAAACAATCATACACATAGAGAATATGGACCATTCTACAATCAATTAAACAGCTTTGTCTATTTACTTCAATGTTATTTTTTAGAAAAGTGAGGTTAACCAAATGTAAAAACCAAGTGCAATAAGTGAACCTATTTGAAATATGTGTATAACTGATATTTCTATCATAATGGTACATTTAGGGACACTTAAGTATGAACTAGAAATTAAACAATTCTAAGAAATAATTTTTGAGTAGTTTTAGATGGAGGGTATTTTTAAAAAAGAATGCATACTTAGTGGTAAAGTATTATGATTTTTCAGTTTTTAAACCAATTCCAAATAAATAACAATACTTATATATGTGATTCCTATACCATTTATATTTGTATATCTATATATTTATGTTTAGAACTATACATGCAAATAATGCAGACATGACAAATTTTAATAATTACTAAATAAATTACATCATTATGTTATTCTTTCCATGAATCTTTAAGTTTGAAATTTTGCATAATAAATAGCTGTGAGAATATGGTGACAATTTAGTAAGTCATAATGACAGCTTCATGGTTTTCAAAGTAGAAATGAAAGAGAACATATCATTTAGTTATGCTGCAATAAAACTATCATTAATAATAAAACCATACTTGAAATATTTTTATTGATTAAAATATGACTTTCATAGAACAGATGATCAAAGCAGAACTTGAAAGTTTGATAAAGTTTCCTAAAGTATGGGTATTCAGTAGAAATATATTCTGCTCCAAGGGTCAACAGAAGCAGTAAAGAAAAGGTGTGTCTACACAGGGAACTAGAAAGTAAGATTAATTTACATTGTATTGCCTGACCAGATGGTACTAAATAGCTTGTGCAAGATTTCTGCCACTTGCCTTTTCTTTTTACTCTTTTTTTTCCCCACCCTTTTATATTATAGACCTAATTAGCCTCTGAAAAATATAATATGCAATTATTAAATCATATTTTCTTCCTTTAAAGAGTGAATGGACTAACTTCTATTAAAAAGGAGACAGACTGAATTAAGAACTTTATGGGGCGCCTGGGTGGCTCAGTTGGTGAAGCGTCCGACTTCGGCTCAGGTCATGATCTCATGGTCTGTGGGTTCGAACCCTGTGTCATGCTCTGTGCTGACAGCTCAGAGCCTGGAGCCTGTTTCAGATTATATGTCTCCCTCTTCCTCTGACTCTCCCCTGCTCATGCTCTCTCTCTCTGTGTCTCAAAAATAAATAAATGTTTAAAAAAAATGAATTAAGAACTTTACTTAGGCTTCTTATTAGAAACAATATTTTTAAACAATGTCATGGAAAAAAGTTTGGAAATTGTTACGGACTCCCATGGGAGTCTCTGTGGGACAGCTCACCACAACATGAAAGTTTGTGTCATTAGAATGAACAGCAAAAACAGCCAGAAGAAGAGAGGGGGAAACTAGACAGAAGACATAGTCTTTTTATAATCTCACTTGTATAATCACACTGTAGGGGAGGTGATTATACCAGAACATGAGTACCAGGTGTCAAAGATCATAGGGAGCCATTTTCAGGAGACTGCCTACCACAGGTGACAAATTCAAAGACCCAATTTCAGAAATTTGTTATTTCCTAACAAATATAAGCTATCCAAACATACACAAAGAGGTATTGGAACCTTAAATAGACCAATTAAGATAGAAAACTTTTCAAATATGACGAAATTAATGTTATTGGATCAGTATTTGATGGTTAATTTCTTTTGAGCTTAAAAGAGACCCATATATTAATTATTTAAGCTACCCAGGTTTTTAAAATAAATTTAAATAAGACTAAACTTTCCTAATCATACCTAATAAAGACAGAGTGGTCGATGACATAATTTGATATTGTCCCTACTATTCTCAATGATTATTTTACTTAGACATATGTTTTACTGTTTTATTTCTTTTCATCCCAGTGTAAAGTAATATTCATGCTTTTAGAACCTTTACTGTATGTTCACTACTATATTCCCAGTGACTGGAATAGTGCCTGGAATATAAAGTGTTTTTAGTAATTGACTATATTATTAATTAAAAAATCAAATAAGGTATTATGATTTTATTTCTCTTAAAATCACGTATGTGTCAGAAATAGGCATATTAATCAATTATCTATAGTTTGCAATAGACATCTATGGGAGGAGAAGGAAGATAGTGTACATTAAAAGGGGAGTAATAAGCATCTCTGTATTAGTAAATCATTGGACTTTTTATGTCTCTGTTGCTCTGGACATTTCATAAATAATAAAATAAATAAACATAAAAGGGTAAAAGATAAATATCTCACTAGAGGTTATTGGAAATTTAATGGATAAGGAGTATTAAGAGAGAATTTTCTGTGGCAAGGAATATGAAACAGCACAACTATTATTATTATTACTAATATTATTATTATCACAGCTAAATGCTTCTTTTCAGAAAGAAGATGAGAATAAAATAAATATATTTAGTCCTCTGATGGGGAATTTTTATTTCAGTGATCAAGTACATTATGATGTAATACTTCAAGTAAAAGGTTTTACCCTTTATGGGAATGGATTAAGAATTTCAGATACTTATGTATATTGAAACTAAAGCTAATTGAATACATTGCACAGAACTGAAGAGAAATATAATTAAAATGTTTAACGTACTTTAGTGTTCCAAAATTGCTGTAAAGCATTTTTTAACATGGAAAAAGAGATCTGCATTTTGTTCAGCCTTCCTTTTGGATTCCCTTAGTCACTTATATTCTATCAACAAAACCATTGTGGTAGGTAGAATTTGCAGATAACTCATAAGATTTATACTCCTTTGTATACACAACATACATATTACTCCCTCCCTTTTAATGTGGCAGAATTGAAGGGATTTTACAGATAAAATTAAGATTCCCAATCAAAAAGGAGTTCATCAAAGAGGAGATTATCCTGAGTAGGCTTTATCCAATCAGGTGAGCCCTTAAAAGGAACTGGACATTTACTGAGGGAAGATATTTAAAGTGTGAGAGGGCCTAAGGAGGGGACCATGTGCTAAGGACCTATGATCTCTAAAAACATAGAAAGGTCTCCTACTAACAACTACTAAGTAAATAGGAATGTTGGTTATATAGCTGCAAAGAAATAAATTCTGCCAACAACCCAAGGGAGCTTTAAGACTGACTTTTCTCTAATCAAACTTTAGTCAAGGACACACCCAGCTTTGTCAAGTCTTGAACAGAAGACACAGCTAAAATGTTCTGGACTCCCGACCCATGGCAAGTATGAGATTATAAATCCCATATATCCTGAGGTTCTGTATTGATTTCAGATCATGGATATGTTTGGGCTAAATCAGTTTTTGATAATTTCATGTTGGTCATAATAAGATTCCAGGAGTTACACTAGTAAACAGAATAGTTCCTAAATCATCCTACTCAGAAATTTCACTGTTTCCTCCCAGTGTAATTGCAGAAAATAATATTTCACAGATGACTAAGAATTCATTGATTTAATAAGTAGAAAAATTATTTGGTTGATATTTACTATGACAAATTTGATTAAATATGTTTTACACTTTAGCGTTTTTGCAATTTTGAGAAAAAACATTAATTGATGCATGATAACAGCAAGTGAAATGGAAGATATATTTTTAGTCTGTTGGAGGAGGTCATCAAGAAGCTGTGACTGCCAGTTGGACCCTGACAATTGGAGACTTCCACCTCCTCCCCTGTCCTTGGAATATGTGTGAAGCTTGCCTTTCCCACTCACAAACACTGTTCCCAGGCTGTCTGGACTGGGTATGTGACTAAATCATTTTAAGGTCTCTTTATAAACTTCAAGGATTCTAGAAGGCAGGTATAGAAATCTATTTGCATTGTGGCTACCCAAGATAAGCCTTAGAAGTTCCCATGCTTATTAAACTTGCCACCTACCAATCTGGAAGTGGCCTGCCTCTTTTTTCAGTCTCTCTTTGTCCTTCAAGTACAGGGCTGGTTTCAGGGTTCACCCAGAAATCTCCCAAGAAGGTTGTGAGCTAACATAGAGTCAAACAAAAATTATGATACAGAATATCAAGGAGCAGATATATCCCAAGGGAATAATTGAAATAATTATAATGAAATCTGTATACTTCATTTGTTTAAACTGTTTTTGACATCTTAATAGATAATTTTAGCTTTATATAATAAATATATAAGAACTGAAGTTATCAGAAAATATTATCCTCATTAAGAATATGTTATTTTATTCCTAGCTATTCTTACCTGCTTGTTCTAATGATGCAAGCTTTCATGTTGTGAGCTGCCCCATAAGGAGTCCCATGTGGTAAGGAACTGAGGAAGACCACAGATTGACAACCAGCAAGCAATTTTAAAAGAATTATATGAAGTGATTATGCCCCATTTGTTATCACCTCTTTAATAACTCTACACATAAGTTTGTAGTCACATAAAATAAAATAAAAATATAAAATGCAATTCCTGATAGCTGAGTTGAATATGTTAATCTGACACAATGTTATACATTTTCTATGAGTAACAGTACTGATTATAAACAAAACAAATATAAAATGGTATATCAGAACTTTAGAAAGAAGAATATAATGTTCTAAAACCAAGAGCTGCCAAAGTTTAGAAGTAAGTCACATATAGTAATTTTACCTACTCAACAAATGTCTTTGGTAATTTTATTGTCATGAAGTCATAAAATTTTATCTAATGTACCCAGTTTTATGTCTTATGCCTTTAAGTACCAGTAAATATGACATGATACTAGAATGACTCATACCTGCATAACTTAACTAAATCTTCAAGATGGCTAACAAACTGTCAGTGAAAACAGTGTAGCAACCAAAATGAGAACATATAAAGAGGTATAGGTATGCCTAATCTTTACTAGGGATACCACTTTACTTGGGAAGTACTAGTCTCTTTAATCCTGAGATGAATTAAAAATGACACTGTATTAGTGACTTATAAATATTGCTCCTCACAATACCAGCAGTCTGGAAATACATTGGGTCTGGATAATAATGAGTTAGTCTTCCACGGCTCTGCTCCTACCACTGATTTAGTTATTAATGATATTGTCCAAGCCTCTAAGCTCTTACTTAGTAAAGATGAAGACATTCTGAAGAGTCGTTAAAAACTTTGATCTTCCCAGTTCCCATAGTTTTCTCCCTTTTCCCTGTGTATGGTATTGAGTAAAATTCCTCTAAATTATCTGTGTGTATAGGGACTTTGCTGTCTTACAGGGATCCTGTGAAGTACAATTCTACCTGATGCTCCCTCTACATCACACCTGAAGTATAATGCTCATTTCCTGCTATTGTAGACCCCTGTCAGTCCTGCACTAAGCCAATAACTGATTCATCAGTGCTCTTAATCAACACCAATGGAATCTGTAGGAATATGGGAGGTCCTATAAAAATATGGGAGAGGATAGGGGCACCTGGGTGGCTCAGCTGGTTAAGCATCTGACTCTTGAGAGGGAGCCAAGACGGCGGAACATCATGGAAGTTTTTTGTGTGTCTTGCATCCATGAGATACAGCCAGACCAAAACTAAACCATCCTGCACACCTAGAAAACTGACCTGAGGATTAACACAACAATCTACACAACCTGAACCACAGAATTCAGCAGGTACCTGGTGTGGAGAAGTGAACTTCAGGAGAGAGAAGCTGCAGAGGGCAGGGAGGTGCTTTTGTGTGTGGAGAGAGGATGGAGACAGTGGGGAGAATATGGGAAAAGCACCCTCATCAAAAGCAGCTGGAAGGAAAGTGGAAAAGTGGAAACAGCCACAGGGACTGAACTAAAAAGGGAGAAAGGAGAAAAGAGAAAGAAGAGGGTTTAAATTCCATTAAGACTGTAAACGGGGAGCACAGAGAGTCTGCAACTCTGCAGCTCAATACCTGATGGTGCTCTGGTGGGAAGGATGAATCCCCAGGAGCACAATGGGGTCTGGGAGGTTCTTGGGCAACATGGGGAGAAGCAGTCCCACTGCTGGAAGGAGATTTGGTAGACGCTGTGAGGCAACATGGACACAGCAGACCCCAGAGAACGGCCGCATTTGCTGGTGCTGGAACAAGGTCCTTAAGGGTGAAACCTGGTGCCAGATGTATGTTGTGATTTTCCATAATCCCTGAAAAGCTGCTGCTACACTATCTCGTGAACTTTTTCTGGGGCCGGCTGGCACCTGGCCACAATCTCTGGGCTTTGGCAGCAGCAGGGTCCCGCAAACGTTCATGGGTGTGGCTGGCATTTGGCCATTGCTCCATGAGATACTCCACAGAGGGGCAGAATGGGTCAAAGCCACAGTCCCTCAGAAGTAAGAGGCTGGGGAAAACAGCCGCATTTGAGACAAAACTCAAGAGAGAGGTACTACCTGGGGTTGGTCACGCACAGTGAATAAACGGGGAGTGGATGAAAGCTAAAGACAAAGGACTAGTGCGTGACTGCTGATTGGAGAGAACAGAGTTCCAATACTAGAGACTGGGTAACTGGGTGGCGCCATTTTCACCACTCCCGCACATGCGCATATGCACCATAACACTCCACGTCAGAAGACTAGCAGGGCCATCTAGTGGATAAAGGAGCCATTATGCTAAGCCCGCCCAACTGGGCCAACATAGATCTTCAAGAACACAAGTCTCTCCGCCTGCTTAGTTTATGGACTATAAAGCACTTCATAGTCTGACTTCTAGGGGAAAACGAAGTAATTTCAGTCCTATTTCAATCTGTTAGCAGGTCCATCTATTCAATTTTCTTTCTTTATTTTTCTTTTTCACTTTTCTTTTTCTTGAATACAGAAAGAGAAAAAAATTTATTTTCAATTTTTATTAAAAATATTTTTCTTTAATTTTTTTACTATATATTTTACTTTTGTGTCAATTTTTTCAAATTCTATTTTCCTTCCATCATTTTATTTTAGTCTACTTCAGTTTATTCATTTTTTTCAAATTTTCAAAAGATTTCTTTTTTTTCTTCTTTCCCCTTTTTCCTCTAATATATCAAGCCACTTTCAACACCCAGACAAAATCACACCTAGGATCTAGCATCATTCGTTTTTTTGTGTGTATATTTTTAATTTTTTAATTTTAATATTTTTTACATTTTAATTTTTTTACTTTAATTTTTTCTACCTCATTAATTCATTTTCACCCTTCAAAGTGACAAACAAAGGAGTTCATCCCAAAAGAAAGAGCAGGAAGAAGTGACACCCAGGGACTTAACCAACACAGATACAATCAAGATGTCTGAAACAGAATTTAAAATCACGATAATAAGAATACTAGCTGGAGTCAAAAATAGATCGGAATCCCTTTCTGTGGACATAAAAGAAGTAAAAATTAGGATGAAATAAAAAATGCTGTAACTCAGCTGCAATCTCTAATGGATGCTGCGGGGGCAAGGATGGATGAGGAAGAACAGAGAATTAGTGATATAGGGGACAAAATTATGGAGAATAAAGAACCAGAAAAACAGAGGGAGATTAAGGCAAAAGAGCATGATTTACGAATTAGAGAAATCAGTGACTCATTAAAAAGGAACAACTCAGAATCATAGAGGTCCCAGAAGAGGAAGAGAGACAGATAGGACTAGAAGGGTTATGTGAGCAAATCACAGTGGAAAACTTTTCTAACTTGGGGAAAGACGCAGACATCAAAATCCAGGAAGCACAGAGGACCCCAATTAGACTCAACAAAAACCAACCATCAACAAGGCATATCATAGTCAAATTCACAAAATACTCAGGCAGGGAGAGAATCCTGAAAGCACCAAGGGAAAAAAAAAGTCCTTAACCTACAAGGGAAGACAGATCAGGTGTGCAGTAGACCTATCCACAGAAACTTGGCAGGCCAGAAAAGAGTGGCAGGATATATTCAGTGTGCTGAGTCAGAAAAAATATGCAGCCAAGAATTCTTTATCCAGCAAGGCTGTCATTCAAAATAGAAGGAGAGATCAAAAGTTTCCCAAACAAAAATTAAAGGAATTTATGACCAGTAAACCAGCCCTGCAAGAAATTTTAAGGGGGACTCTCTGAGGGGAGCAAAGATGAAAATATAAATAAATAAATAAATAAATAAATAAATAAATAAATAAATACCAAAGCATCAAATATTAGAAAGGACTAGAGAACACCACCAGAAATTCCAACTCTACAAGCAACATAATGGCAATAAATTCATATCTTTCAGTACTCACTGTAAACATCAATGGACTCAATGCTCCAATCAAGAGACATAGGGCAACAGAATGGATAGGATAACAAGATCCATCTATATGCTGTTTACAAGAGACCCACTTTAGGCCTAAAGATAACTTCAGATTGAAAATAAGGGGATGGAAAACCATCGATCATGCTAATGGTCAAGAAAAGAAACCCGGAGTCGCCATACTTATATCAGACAATCTAGACTTTAAAATAAAGACTATGTATCAAGAGATGAAGAAGGACATTATATCCTCATTAAAGGGACTGTCCACCAAGGAGACCTAACAACTATAAACATTTGCGCACCAAATGTAGAAGCACCCAAATATATGTCAATTAATCACAAACATAAAGAATCTCATCAATAATAATACCATAATAGTAGGAGACTTCAACATCCCACTCACAGGAATGGACAGATATTTTTTTTAATTTTTTTATTGTTTATTTATTTCTGAGACAGAGACAGAACATGGGTGGGGGAGGGGCAGAGAGAGAGGGAGACACAGAATCAGAAGTAGACTCCAGGCCCTGAGCTGTCAGCACAGAGCCTGATGTGGGGCTTGAACTTACAAACTGTGAGATCATGACCTGAGCTGAAGTTGGTCGCTCAACCTACTGAGCCACCGAGGTGCCCCTGGAATGGACAGATATTCTAATCAAAAGATCAACAAGGAAAAAATGGCTTTGAATGACACACTGGACCAGATGGACTTAACAGATATATTCAAAACATTTCATCTTAAAGGAGCAGAATATACATTCTTCTCCAGTGCACATGGAACATTCTCCAGAATAGACCACATACTGGGACACAAATCGGCCCTCAGCAAGTACAAAAGATTAAGATCATACTGTGCATATTTTCAGACCTCAACGCTATGAAACTTGAGATCAACCACAAGAAAACATTTGGAAAGGTAACACATACTTGGAGACTAAAGAACATCCTACTAAAGAATGAATGGGCTAACCAAGCAATTAAAGATGAAATTAAAATGTATATGTAAGCCAATGTAAATGATAACACCACAACCCAAAACCTCTGGGATACAGCAAAGGCGGTCATAAGAGGAAAGTATATAGCAATCCAGGCCTCCCTAAAGAAGGAAGAAAGATCTCAGACACACACCTAACCTTATATCTTAAGAAGCTAGAAAAAGAATAGCAAATAAAACCCCAAACCAGCAGAAGACAGGAAATAATAAAGATTAGAGGAGAAATTAATGCTACCAAAACCAAAAAACAGTAGAATAGATCAAT